CGAATGGACTACAAACTACAGCGCCCCTTGCTGTAGTGCACCGCCGACGCAAACAACAACGCCCATATCGCAGCCACCTACCATCAGGCTGCAACAGCAACTGCGTCAGGCGCAACAGGCCCAAGGTAGGCCCCACACTTCTCTGACCCCCCGTATCGCGACCAGCCTCCCAAGGCACATAAACGTACTCCAACTCAACTGCAACGGACTCCAGAGCAAGATTGAGGAGATAGCAGTCTTCATGGGTCGGCACGGCATATTGATAGCTGCGGTCCAAGAAACGAAGTTGCACAGCAACTCAACTCTGTTGGGTTGCGCCGCCTACAATGTGCTCCGTAAAGATCGCGAGCGAGATAATGGTGGTGGACTAGCGTTCATTCTACACCACACAGTGCAGTATCGGCTAATCGAAGAAGACATCGACCCAAGGGACACTACCCTAGAATGTCAGGGCATAGCTGTCCGGTCAGGCGATGTCGAGCTCGAAATATTTAACGTGTACATACCCCCTGTCACCTGCTGCCCGGCTGGATATCTCCCTGACATAGGTGCGCTACTCAGAGGCGAAAACCGATTGGTAGTAGGTGACTTCAATGCGCACCACGATCTTTGGCACTCAAGCCTGGCCAATGATCGGAGGGGAAACAGTTTGGCTGAGCAGATAGACGATTCGACATTCTGCACCATGAACGACGACGCCCCCACCAGGATTGTGGGCAGCTGCAGCAGCTCGCCAGACGTAACAATTGCTAGCGCTGGTCTGATAAATAGCATATCATGGCGACCTATGCTTACGTTAGCATCAGACCATCTGCCCATAATCATCTCGATCAATAAGCCCACCGACTTTGCTCCCGCGGATCACCGAACCTACACCAACTTCAACAAAGCTGATTGGAACGGCTTCGCGGAAGTTACCGAGAGCAGCTTCGCCGCCCTCCCCACACCCACAGACGTACATGCTGGCGAACGCCAGTTCCGCAAGGTAGTCACAGCCGCAGCAGCTCGCTTCATACCGTCCGGACGCATCGCGGAAGTCCGCCCAAATTTCCCGGCTGAAGCAGCTGTACTAGCAAATGAGCGTGACCACCTACGCCAGGTCGACCCCGGGGACCCTCGCTTGAGGGAACTTAATTTGGAGATTCGGCAACTGGTAAATCAACACAAGCGGACAAAGTGGGAAGAGCACTTGAATGCCTGTAACTTCACCTCTGGTGTGAGTAAGCTCTGGTCAACCGTGAGGTCCTTGTCCAACCCGACGAAGCGTGATGACAGAGTGGAAATTTCATTCGAAGGTCACGCCTCATCGGACCCGAAGAAATGCGCGAACTATTTCAGTCGGCAATTCACACTGCATCCTTCGGTAGACAAGGCCAAACGTCGAGTGACCAGGAGGCTGCACAAACTGCCCAAAAACGATGCACCACTTGTTTTCACCAGCGGTGAAGTAAAGGGGGGCCATCGGGAAGGCGAAAGCCTCCAAAGCCATTGGACCCGACGGAATCTGTATGCTGATGTTGAAACATTTGGGGCCTGTGGGGGTAGCATACCTCACGGAGGTCCTCAATTTGTCTATGACCACTCTCATCATTCCTGATGTGTGGAAATCAGGGAGAGTGGTCCCACTGCTGAAACCGGGGAAGCCCGCCAACAGAGGAGACTCTTATCGCCCGATAACGCTCCTTTCCCCGGTCGCGAAGACACTTGAGGCCCTGCTGCTCCCATACTTCACCTGCCACCTAACCCCAGCGAAACATCAGCATGGCTTCCGTAAAGTGCACAGCACAACAACAGCACTTAACGCCATAAACACCCAGATAACCCGCGGCCTAAATCGAAACCGCCCCTGTGAGAGAACTGTCCTAGTAGCACTGGACTTGTCAAAGGCGTTTGACACCGTCTGCCATTCCACGCTGCTAGAAGACATTGAGGCCTCCTCTCTCCCACAGGGACTGAAGCGATGGTCGGCGAATTATATGAGTGGTCGGCAATCATCAGTAATCTTCAGAGATCAAACCTCGAAACCTAGAAGAATAAAACAAGGGGTTCCACAAGGTGGTGTTCTCTCCCCCTTACTTTTTAACTATATCTCGAAACTCCCCCAGCCACCTGAAGGAGTTTCCCTGATCTCCTACGCTGATGACTGTTCGATTTTGGCGTCTGGGAATGGAATTGATGACCTCTGCTCAAAAGTAAACGGCTATCTCTCCAGCCTTTCTCGCTTCTTCACTGCAAGGAGCCTAACCCTCTCCCCAACGAAATCAACGGCGACCCTCTTCACCACCTGGACGAAGGAGGTCAGGCTTGAATTAGGCATTCACGTCGACGGCACACCAATACCGACGGTGAACAACCCGAAAATTTTAGGGGTTACCTTTGATAGCCTGCTCTCTTTCTCCGCGCACACAACCGCAGTTGTCAACAAAGTACAGAGCCGCAACAAGGTCCTCAAGTCGCTCGCCGGCAGCACTTGGGGCAAAGACAAAGAAACGTTGTTGGCAACATACAAGGCAATTGGCCGGCCGGTTCTAAATTATGTTGCGCCAGTTTGGACGCCGGGGACTAGTTGGACGCAGTGGACGAAGCTACAGACTTGTCAGAACGCCGCACTCCGGACAGCGACCGGGTGCCTTCTGATGACGCCTGAGCATCACCTACACAGTGAGGCCCAAGTGCTCCCCGTAAGGGAACACAACAAGATGCTCTGTAAGCAGTTTCTTGTGGGGTGTCACAGAAGTGAACACCCCAACAGACCACTGCTGGAGGAGGAGCCTCCGCCCAGGCACGTCAGGGGGCACCTATTCATGTACAAGGACGCAGTCCAGACCTACACAGACCAACCACTGGACCCAATGACGTACAGACGAGCGATTAACGACATTCATAGGGAGTCTGTCTCCACCTACCTCGACTCCCGGCCTAGGAATGTCGTTATCGGAGCCCAATCACCACCTGTGGAAGAGACGGAGCTTCAGTTACCTAGAGAGACCCGCGTTACCCTGGCTCAGTTACGGTCTGGATATTGTAGCCGCCTAAACAGCTACCTGTCCAGACTCGACCCAAACATCCAAAATGAGTGCCCGGCATGTGGAGACTCCCCCCACGACACCAACCACCTCTTCACATGCCAGCTCAATCCGACTCAACTAACACCTCTCTCCCTTTGGTCCGACCCCATCGAAACAGCTCGTTTCCTGGGCCTACCGTTAGTTGTGCTTGACGATAATGATTAAAAGTTGACCCGAAACAGGCGGGGCTTAGTAGTGCCGCTACAACAACAACAACAACAACAATTTTGGTACTAAAAACTTAAAGAAAACATGGCTTACCTCGTAAGGTAAGGTAAGGTTGCCCAGTGGGAACGAAGTATTTAAAAATATCAATTTTGTGGGAAAACGCAATCAAAGTTTTATGAATTCATACAGTTGGTATACAAAAAGATAGATGAAAAGCATGGTGTAATAATTATTCCACCATGGATGAAAAGAAACATATGTACATATCTTCGCCATATTTGGGAAGTTTGTATGTATGTATAAAAATATATGTACTTACATATATCACATTTATGTAAATTACATAAGAACCTTTTTTTTATATGTTTTTGGCATTTGGCATTTGCCTTTTGTTTATTTAATGTTTATTATTTTTTATAAAAGTCTAGCTGGTATACAACAAACACCATATATATTCAGATTTCAAACTTTGTACAAAAATTAAAAAAAAATCTGCTTATTTGCAGCAAAATTTTTTAATCAGAATTTTGGTATGCAGTTTTTTTTTTTGTAGGCCATTTAATTCGAGTATAATGGAGTGCAAGTTTCAAGCTGCTATATAAAATCTCGTTAATGTTTAGCAATTTTTTTGCTGGCAGTGTCCTCCATATAAAAGAAAATTGTCGAACATACTTTTGTATGGAAAAAACGTGAAACACCTTCAACCAAAAAAATGCTTTTTTGTGAGCTGTCTGCAAATGTTTTTTGATGTTGGCTGCTGTCTGTGGCTTCCCCTAAACATATGAAAAGAAATTCCAAATAATCGGCGAAAAAAGGCCGATGCCGTTTCTCAATTTTGTGCCGATACTAGCCGATTCCGATGCCGATTAATCGGTCGGACTCTAAATCTCGACTTTTATTAGTTTGAGTAAATAAAATAAGGTAATGGAATTATATATACATATGGATATGTAAATAAATAAAGTAAGGCAACGGAATCACTTCAAAAATACATGTTTTAAGCAAAAAAAAAACACCGACTTCAATTTTCATATAAAAATTGAAGAGTATCGCCTCCTTTTTTAACGCCTTTGCGCGTAATTATCGTAAGTAGCATTTTTCTCGAAATTTACTTTTTGATGAAAATTTGTTCTACACCCCACAGTTTTGCCTCTGGTAACATATTACAGCTAAAATCCCTATAGTTACGCCAAAAATTTACTGTATATTTTATCGTATGTTACAATGAATTTTTTAAGGCGAAATTATCGTATGTATGTGCCATACAAAAGTATTTTGAACGTAGTAAAAAAAATCAAAATAAACAAAATTTGAAAAGTATGAACATGGTGTTACCATGATACAAATATTTTTGGCCGCGGTCCTTCTGTATGTCAAAAAGATGTGTTTGTTGTATTATGAATTCGCCTTGTTTACAACAAACCCATTATTTTGATATTCAGAAGGACCGCGGCCAAAATCTAAATTCGCCAGTAACACCACCTTGTATAAATTCGCTTTGAGTATATGTAAAATGTGTTTTCTAAATGTTGTAAATGTTATACATATACCCCCAAAAGATAGCACATCAACATTTTTACCAGTTTTCACTACTTATCTTTTGCTTTTTTAAAGGTTCATTATTTTTATATAAAAGTATAGCTCTTTATCTAACAAATACCATATAAATCTAAATTTCAGACTTTGTACAAAAATTAGAAAAATTCCACAAACTTTTCATCCCAATTCAAGCATTTTAATTTTAAGTTCAAGAATAATTTTTGGTATGCAGTTTTATAGCTCATTTAATTCTAGTATAAATTGTAAGTTTTTAGTTTCTAAAAAATCGCGTTGATTTGTGATAATTTTTGTGCTGACGGTGTTATGCACTCTTTTCCATACAAAAAATTATTCTAGAAATTAAAATTAAGATGCATGGAATTGGGATGGAAGGTTTGTTGAATTTTTATAATTTTTGTACAAAGTCTGAAATTTAGATTTATATGGTATTTCTTAGATAAAGAGCTATACTTTTACATATATAAAAATAATGAACCTTAAAAAAATCAAAAGAAAAGTAGTCAAAACTGGTAAAATTGTTTATGTGCGTATGTACGTATTCTATACAAATAAATGTGTATTTAATGCGAGGATTTTCACCAAAAAGCCATTCATTAAAAGCCTTTCACATATTTGGACTTCTTTTTCACCGGTTTTGGTTTAGGTTTCAGTGATATAAATTCCTCCTGTTCAGTCGGTGAACCAGGCATATTAAATACACTATTAGTTAGTTGCGTTGAATGTTCTGCCGGCATAAATTCGTCCAAAAATGAGTTGTTTCGGTCAACAAAATCGGCTTCCAAATGAAAAGAAGTTTCCATTTTAATAGACTCAGTAACATCGGCACATGGAGCATGAACCATTGATACAACAGTGGAATTCAACGAACCGAATTGCTGATTGATAGCTGAAGTAGCAGATTTAGGGAGTTGCTCAGGTTGCGTTTGCTGGGGCTTTTCCTCTGCTTTGATATTTGTATCCAACCATGAGCTCACAATGTTTTCAGGATCAACTTTTGCACCCAGCCCTTTCTTCATACGAGAGTATGACATATCATTTTTATCATCCTCGAATTCAATATCCCATATTGAAAGTAAATCTTGTACTAAAGCGTCTTTATAGGAATGTAACGTTTGTATTGATTTTTGCCAACGTCCAAAGCCACGCCGTTTAGGTGGTATTTCCTCTTTTTCATCTCTTTTATCTTCTTCAGAATTGAGTGGGGCGCTAAGCGCATTGCAGCGGAAAACTTTGCGCATACCTGCAAAAAGTAATGAAATAAGTTTTAAGTAAGTATGTCTTAAGTGTTGAAATTTTGAAACACAAATCTCATATCGATGGTTTTCTGTAAAATGACAATAAACAAAAGGCACAGCTGTTAAGTGTGTCATGTCTCTAATCCTTACTGCTTATTTTGGTAACGTTCTCTACTTGCTTTAGTAAGGATGGGGCTTGGATTAGACAAGGGTTAGAGACATGAGACACTTTAGGGGTTTGTTTCTTTTTTTCTTAATTTTTTGTGAGTGGATTATCGATATGTATGTAGCTAGTACATACCATGGTACATACAGCTTTTGAAATCGATTTACCTTTTAAATTGACAACTTCTGTACAATTTAATTTTGGCTGCGTGAGTTGGCAAACACCATTCGCATACGCATGCATTGTATGTTCACCCTCATTTTCAGCCTTCGAACGAGTATCTGGCTCTAGCGTATCATTCGCGATCAACCGACGTGCATACACATCACCAATCGAATTTGATGTGAGTAACAAAGCAAAAGTGTCACAATCTTCCTCACCAATACATTCCGAGAACGTTTCAGTGTCGAAGAAGGTCAGGCCAGTTGTACAACGGGCTATACGCGATGGCAAGTCAGCATCGGGCTGCAAACATTTGCCTGCGATCCGAGCTTGTTGGTAAGCTTCCTCCAGTGTTGATGGTTGGTATGGCAGACAATATGATTTATACACACTCTTCTTCGATTGCCTCTTTCCCACCGATTCATCTACGATAGAATCTTCTTTATCAACGCTTTGCGCTGAATGATTGCGGGTAAGTTCACAAATGCAAATATCATCTGCTAACGCACTACTAAGAGCAATAAGTTCTACGCCACCAAAGCGGAAATTATCAATAAAAGCAGGGGCATATTGTAACTGATGAGTCCAGCGACATAATGCACCATCTCCCGATTCAATATCGCCTCCTAAGTAACGTAAATCTAAGCAGTGCAACTTATGGTTTGTCGCTACATATGCCAAGTCTCTAAATTCACTTTTGGCAATTGATGATATAAAATCACATTTATAATCCTGAGTGGCGTAGCCACAGCTACTTTTCAACCATTGCTCTGGACAGGTTCGTGTATCTAACATGAATAATTTCTTTTCGTTGGCATACAAAAATGTCTGACCCTGCCAAGGTCTTATCATGTTCCAACTCGCCCTCATGATATCTTCTTTTTTACATACATTATGGGTGGCCGAAAGTATAGGTGTAGACGCATTAATGTCATACACCCGAATACTTTGCTTCATTGAGGTAATTATGAAGGTACTGTAATCAATAGGCGACTGTGCAAAGCTAATGAAAGGCGTGGAACTAGTTTTAAAACGTGTTAGTGCTTTGGCTGCTCCTGTGGGAAGAAATTTATATAGCGTTATCATGTTTCGTTGCCGCACAGCAAAAGAGTTTGGACAATCTTTTCGTAGGTTCTGTATGGCGCGCACCTCAAAAATTTCTTCTTCTGTGTCTACCTGTTGTGAGCATATAGGATCTAAAAAACTGCCAGCAAAGCTCTTAAATTTTGGCAAAATTCCAACATCTGCGTGGAAAAAATACATACTTAGTTAACCATTCTTAATAGCTTATAGTAGGGCATTACTCACTCAAATTATTTAATTTGTTATTATCTACATGTAACACATGTTCACCGTCGTCCAATATACAAAGATTTCCTCCAGAATAGTAGTAATCGTAGCTTCCATGAAAATACGGATCGGGATTACAATCTAAGCGTCGGGCCAAGTCGAAAAAGGATGTATGAAAGCTTCCTTCTTTTTCATTGGTTTTTAATTTTTTATCTACATATGTATGTAAAATGCAATTCCTTGATAAATAAATAATTTAAATAAGAACAATATTTCTGTGTATGGAATAGTAGCTAATGTCGAAAGGCTGGCTTTAGTATAGCCGTTGAAGAACTTCTGGCAAATAAATGTGCAAGAAATAGTTCTGATACTAGCCAGACAATATTCTTATTAGATAAGTCCCATCAAAACTTTCGTTGTCGTTTAAAGAATAAAGTGAATGCCGCAATATACTAAAACCAGCTTCGCGACATAAGCCACTATTCCATACGAACACAGGTTTTATCTTTGACTTACTTTTCTGACCCGTCTGGTAGCGTGTCCGAGAAATATGCAAACGTTTTCTGTAAATCTCCCGTGCCATTGTGCGTCGATGGCATATATCCACACGCTCACAGTGCTTGTCAGCTATATATACTGCACTTGGCATTGAAACTTTGCATTTCAGATGCAGGCTTAATTCACTAAGGTCATTTAATGGCGTTTGGCCCACATTGAAAGCAGGAAAAAGACAATGCCTTTCTCGTAGCTTCAGTTCATCGGAACTATACAGTAGCAGTCTATCTAGGGCATCGACGGCAGCAGTTTTGGTTGAGCGTTCTCGTTCTTGTGATAAATTACTTGTTGCAGTCTTATTGTTCTAAAAAGCAATTTTTATTAAGTACTTGTGAATCGATGTACGTATTTATTCACTATTATTTACCTGTGCTATGTGCTTCAGGCTTTCAGCCTGAACATTTTGTTTATATGGTCGGGTGGGCATTTATGTTAATTTATGTTTAATGAGCCTTTAAAATTTTCGTCCTTTGATCTAATTAAAAACAAACCTTAAACACGTTCCAAAATTCACTATCGGGATAAATGTGTATCAGCTGTTTGACAAATGTAGGCTTATCGACTTATCGTTCATGCTTTATTTATTTTAGGTTCTTTCTCTAAAGGTGTTCTTACACGATATGTATTTGCATCTGTAAATGTCACTTTTTCAATACATATTGGGCGCGTTCATAAGACGTAGCTGTTTAGCTCAACAGCTACGAAACTGCTGGCAACTGTTGGACCCAACAATTAAGCTGATGCAACATAAAACTTTTGCTTCGCTTTACGTGACAGATTCGCTTTGACAGATAAGATGAATTGTATGAAAATGCACAAAGCACGCCACATAGATCGTTGACGCTGCAGAGCGAAACGAAAAGATGGCCAACTCCCATCTTTTTGCGCGCTTTGACAATCAACCGGTTTAATATTTATTTTATTTCGTCCAAATTCGAGTGTTCATGTAGAAACATAAAACTTAATTACATTGGTGATATTTTTAAAGTAAAATATATAAAATCCACATCAATTTTGACGAGTAAAAAAGCAGTACAAAATTGTTTTCTTTGCGTTCATTGTGGCATACCCTTTGCGTCTGGCGCTTTGCTGGCAAAGTTATAAATGTCACGCAAAGCTACAAAGTTTTATCTGGCATCAGCTTTACGTCTTAGAAACGGCTTGATGAATATGCTGTCAAATAAATAGCTGATAAATGTAAACAAATGAAATTGCAATAAATAGAGATAATTGCGCCGATGGTACTTAGAATTCAACGCTGAGCTGCCGCCGTTTTGAAAACATCGTTCAATGTTGTAATGAATTAAACAGTGTATAATTTATATAGCAAACATCTAAAAAAATATATATATTTAGAAACGTGGTATTATTATAAAATATTTTAGTTACTTAATCACATCAGTAATATAAAATATAATAAATTTGTTTGCAACTGCCTCCTGGCAAAGCGGCGTTGAATTTAATATAAGCGGCGTCAATATTTTCGATCAGCTGTTGAGTTCAGGTAGCGTAAATCTTCTTTACCCAGCAAACATTTGGAGTCATAAATGAGTCTTTAAGGAGTCCTATTTCGGAGCAATTACGCTCATAATGAGCTCATTTAAGAGTCCGATATGAGTGTGTTTCCCTTCCTACGAATGTCGACTTATATGAGCTTAAATTCATACATCAAATTAGCCTCAATATGAGTCATATTGGACTCTTATTGGCCTCATATACAGCTCATTTTGGACTCTTTTAAAACAAGTTTTGGCCTCATATATGACTCTTTTTGATACCCTTATCGGCCTCATAAATTGCTACATTCGGACTCTTATTTTAGGTTGCTCTTTGAGTCTTATTCAACTCACTATATTTGCAAAGGCATTCCGCAAAAAGTCCTTGCAAATAACATACATACATACTTACATGCATATACACATTCCAACATGCATTCAATAGCAGCAGCTGAAGCTAAATTTTGTTCATTTTTTGTTTTCTAATTATTTTCAATTTCTGTATAAACAAGTTTAGATATAAATTTCAAATCTTTATTGTTTTTATATTGGCACAAGGTGCTGGCTCATAACTTGGCTCATATATGAATCCTAAAAGATTCATATAAGAGTAAAAAATTTTTTGTTTTTGAAACTCATATTTCTTACCTACCTAGGACACCTTTCGGACTCATATATTCTGAACGCTCAGAATATGTTTGCGGGGTGTTTGCGGGGTCTTAACAATTTCATGTTTATTAAGAAAATTTGTTGCTGAAAAATTTGTGTGTAACCTTTTTTGAAACAAATTCAAATTTGAAAAAAAAAAATTTCAAATGGGTTAAGAATTTATTTTAGTTTGACATTATAGCCTGTTTCTTATGAGAGCAATGTCAAAATCAATCACACTTTGTTGAATACATTTTGCTCGTACCCAAAACTATCAAGAGTTTTAGAAAAGTGGTTTTTAGAATAACCGAATTATTCGAATAATTTCGAGAGCCTTAATATGTATTTCTCAGATGAATAAAATTATATTATTTTTAGTGTAAAAATCCGTATTAGGTTAGTTTAATTTTCTCAGTGGTCTCGAAGTTTATACTTCCGGCCCATGATCTAAATTATAATTGGTTCATGCTTCCGGCCATCATTTCATTCATAACTTACATTTCTGCCATGTTTCATTCGCTATTGTGAAAGAGAACAGAAAAGGAAACGGGAATTTCAGAAACGGATTTCTTATGACGTAAAAAAAGATAAAAAATAACTATCTCAACTTCCAGCGCAGTGTTTTAGAAAATTTTATTTTATTACGCGTTAAAAGTGTGTTGTTAGTATTGGAGTTTATACATTTAGCTGAATAGTTATTTATTTATTTATTATTTTATATGTTTTCTGAAAAACCAGATAAAGTGAATTAACTACAGGGTAAAAACATTATGAAGAACTTCTCCCCGACTGGGCGACCACTGTCATTCCAAAAGCATTTTCTATAAACTTTTTAGGACCTTTTGGGCGTTGGCTGATCTCCCGACAAGTTTGGTTTTGAGACAAATTAGTTCAGGCGTTGTGCCATCTTCAGTGTAATTTTTAGACGAAACGACACTAAAAAAAGTCACTCCGCGGCAAACTAAAGTGGACAAAGGGTGACGGATTTTTTTTTTTTATTTGTACGTCACTCTTTAGAGGATTTTTATGCCACAAATCAGTATCAAAACAGTTTGCTAAAGAAATTCTTCTTCGATTTGCTAAAACGGTGCATCCACAAAGAAATCAAAACCATTCGCTTTAGTGTTTTATTTATTTCCTAAAAATCGCTTACAACATTAATTTCACTAAATTTTAGGATTGATCAAGAGAAAATTTTTTACTTAAATGCTGTCTTAAAGGTAAAAACAACGCATTGAGAGCAATTTTACGGGTGAAATAAAATTCTCAACAAATAGTAGAAGATTTAAATAAAAAATTGTATTCAAAACTCAGTTTTTTCGAACGATAAAATAATAATTATTAATTTGGCACATAAGTGCTGCAACGAATAAAACAAATTGCAAGTTTCTTAAACGAAAAGGAAACACTTATTAAAAACTGATAAAATCTATTATATATACTCTCATTGAGAATATTTTTTTTCTTCAAAATTCTTGTAAGCAGCTAATTTTGCCTTTGTAAGAAATACTCTGAGCGAAATATGAACTCTTTTCATTAGTTCCTAAAAAATTCAAATTGGTTCCAATAACTGGGGAAAAAATTATTTAAAAAAGCTATTGATATTTCAATTTATTGCAAATTATACTTCATTAAAAGTTAATATGTATTAGTATTTAGAAGCACGTCATCGCTAAGTGGATAATATTAACCATCCGCCTTACAAATACAATTAATAATATATTAGTAATTTAATTAGCATTAAAATTTGATTTTTGATTATTTCAACTTTACATATACATATATAAATATGTATGCATAATTTTTTGTTTTTCTTCTTTCATTAAATTATTATTGTTTGGAAAACGCGATTATTAATGACGCTATAGCTGCTAATGTCTTCCGTAATTATTATTTTTGTTGTTTTTTTTTGTGGCTAGCATTGCTAGCAAACTATATATAATAAGAATTATAATAATGATAATATCTATTATATAGTATAGTAGGTATTTCTTGTTGTGGCTGTAGTTGGCATTGTTGGACACCAACGTATTTCCCGTGTTTATGCTGTTTTTTAAATTGTGGTTTTGAAATACTACCATATTAGTGTGATTTTGTTTTTGTTGTTGTTTCTGTTGTAGCTGACACTGTTTGCGTTGCTGTTGTTTCTGCTGTTGTTGTTGGTATAGTCGCGTTTTCGGTGTTTGTTAGCATTGTACTTTGCCGTATAGTGCCCGACGCTCCAACACTTCACGATACTCTTTGTAATTCATTTGAATTTCCTGCGAACGATAACGCGTCAATTTGATTGATTTTCGGGTTTCTGGGGTGATTGCTGCACGGTATCCCCCCTTCCTGAGTAGAGAGTCAATAGTTTGGGTTTGATCCCAACCTGCGCACCAGAAGGAAATAAAGCGTTTAGTTCATTAAAAAAATATATATATTTATACATATTAAATATCAACGCTTTTGAAATATTAAAAGAAATGTGACATACAAACTAAACTATTACTAAATGCAATGTGCTATAGAGCAAAATGATTTGTATTGCATAAATCTCGATGCCTGGAGCTCAGGGTTAGTAAATCTCATTTTTACTACAACGGCGATTTAGGCGGTTTTGCAACTGGTCGATGGGCGGTTTTGCAAAAACATCGACGATACATGTATGTACATATGCACATACACATACATATATATTTTTTTACATCAGAAATACATAGTTCTTAATTTTCTTTTAAAGAATTGATGTTATAGGTAAACCAACTTTAGATCGACAAATTTCCAAAACATGTTTGTAAGGCGACTAAGATATCGATTAAGTTTATTAAACATTTTGAATATACCTTGTTCAGTTGCTACTTGCGGCAAATAAGTGGCAGTCCTTTTGCACCCACGTTCATTAAAAAACTCAATACGTATGCCATGTACGCCTAATGTCCAATCGAGATACCCGTGTGCTTCTTCGAAATTCTGCAAAATCGAAACAGACACAGTCAATTTGGGCAGCTCTTCCCTGGCGATGGGGGCAAAACGCGAGTCTTTCAAAGCACTCGTTAGTGCATATTCGCGTAGCCCGTTGTGCAAATGCATAGCACTAAAAGTGCCAATACAACCACGTAATCGCTTGTCGCGTCCTGTTTTCCAAGTAACAAATAATGGGCTATAAAAGTGTCAATATAAAATTATTAAAATCCACTCGCGAGATTCTATTTGACATACACTTACTAAGCATCATTTGTAAACTTGGGTGTCCCAGGACCCTCTAAATTATTAAGCTCACAGTCTAGCACCTCGAAACAAAATGTACACATGTCAGGCACCGCAACATTACCTAATGGTTTTACGCTGTAGCCATTTGTGTGTCGACTTGAGCCACCACCGCGGCGATAGCAGTCACCATCATCACCACAATCACCGTTCTGCAGGTGATGCGGCCGTAGTCCATTCATTTGTGATGTACCTGATCCACGGTAATTGTTGTGGTGTTGGTAGTTATTTGACATATTGTACTTGGTTCTTGTCTTGTTCCAGTATCTGCCTTGTTTTAGTGCGTTATATGTATGCCTATTACAAAACTAAATTTGTATTTTTGCTCGTTGCTATTTGTTTTGCTCTGACCCAATGTGGACTGCAGGGATTCAGTATAGGTTTTAATGTATCTATTACTATTTAATCTTAATTTTATTATGGACGCAGATTCACACTGATACTGATACCAGGATCCGCTTGTTTGTTGCAGGACTAATTTTTAATTTGTCTATCCCTAAGATCTCTAGTATTAATGGCAGTGCGCAACTTGATGATGTGAATCTAAAAAGATTTAACCTGAAAATAAGAAAAATATTATGTTAGAACAAAACGTATATGTTTTATGTGCATGCCATTCAATCTTATCCTATTTTTGTATACTATATTTTTAGCGGAGGAAAAATAAAGGGTCCAACTCCTTAAACGTAAATTTGATCGTCGACCAATTAAAATCTGTACCCTACGAATACAGTTGCGTCAGTAGTGCGTAATATGTAATACATAAAAATCAGAGGTGGTGTTCGATAAAATTAAAATAAAAGACAACGACTAAATCGCCCATTCAGTTCTACTATGCTTTGTTTACGAATACTCGTTTGACCTCAACAAGCGATTATCACTTAGTATCAGTCACAGGCCTTTGTGCACAGCCACGCACGCGACCCCCTACATCCTCCCTCGTACAACTAAAAATCTAGCTGTGGTACCAGACAGCCTACCGAACAGACAGTTTGTCGATCCTCCCATCTAGCTCTTGTCCATTCCCGTCTTGTAAAGTGTAGTCTTTGCATTCAGTCCACGGATCGTTTTCTTTATATGATCACAGCACAATCACCCCATTCGCTACATTCACATTTGTTATTTTCTATTTTTTTTGACATTCGTTTCGATACTAGAGCAATTTGTTTTTTCTGAAGCGCCTCCAATATTTTCGCCGATTTTCCGATGAGCTATCCCTTTTCCACACTTTTAAAATTACTGTAATTTCAAGTCCAACGCTTTTACTAAAGATTCCGACAATTTTGGTGCAGATTTGTGTAAATTTTTCCAAGTAATTTTCGCTTTTAAAAGCATAACCAAATCGCACTTATTTCCCTGCTGCTGACAGCGTTTCCAAATCGCTCATCTTCGGTTATTCTTCTTTTGACTTTCGTAAAACTACCAGTGTTGCCAGAAATCTTTGGCAAAATATATCGGAAAAATAAAGGAAAATCAATGAACATAAACAAGACGAGGTCAAACAATTACGGCAAGAATGATAGAATACAAGATTGCGCATTTCGGGCGGCGTTGTCATTTCTGGTGTAAAAGTTAACAAAGCCTAAGATAAAACAAAGATAGGATAAAAAAATGGCAGCAGAGCCAAGTATCTAAATATTTCATTCTTCGATGGGAAACGAGGTTTAATAATAAGATTATCACTAGTGGGATTCATAAAACGTTACGGCACAACTGATTACTTTTATGTGGAAACTATCTTGCGACATGATTTCTCCATCGTCACATTAGGTTCTTTCCCGTACAACCCGTCCGGATCTGGTAATTAGAGAAGAAGCGAAAAACTTGCTCTCAAAAATGGAACAATGTTCACAAGTACGGGATCGCAAAAAAACACATTTCTTGCTCAGAATTTGAGAAATAGCTGATTCAAGTGGTTTTTGTTATCGACACTTAAATTCAAACACTAGAAAATGAATTTAGGTTTCACAAATTTGATTGTATTAATAAAAAAGTATATAAAGTATTTCTTAAATTCCGGGCACGAAATGTGGTTTTTTGCGTTCCCGTACTTCTGGGCATTGTTCCATTTTTGAGAGCAAATTTTTCGCTTATATCAAACACAGCGGATCATAAATTGAACCAGGTATCTATCAGGATCATATCGTTTTTGTTGCATTTGCGTGCAAATTTTTTATCCGGATCCTGATTATTGAGGAAGGAAACGCAGCATATATATTTTAGTTTTAAAGAAACTTCTGGTAACACTGAAAACTATCAAAATGCACTAGCGCGAATCGGTTTGGGACATTCATGCACTAGCGCGAATCGGTTAGGGGTTTTTATAACAAAAAGAATTCAACCAGAACGTAGGGTTGTATTTTTCTGAAACCGATTTCTTCGTGAACCCATGAACGAAAGACACAAGATCACGCAAGAACAAGAGTGAAAAAGGTCGATTTTTCGAGCGGGTTTTACGCCATCATATTTCGCTGGAAAACGAACGAAAACCAAAATTAACCAGAACTATTGTCAGCCACTTTCAGCACACGATTTAGGTAAAATTATTAATTAAAATGCTATAAAACGTGTTGCGTTGAATTAACTCTTCTTTAGTTAAAGAAAAGTGTGAAATAGTAGGTTCATTCCTTATCTTTTTGGACTAAAATCTGAAAAGTGTC